CATATTCAATGCCATCCGCATTTTGTCAAAACTTTAATGGGTGATGCATTTTCATTTATATGGCTGTTCCACATTTCTTTGGGAAAAAAAATCAATAATAAATTTCTTTTATGATACGATCTCTGTAACAACAGCGTTACCTTTGCTATGTGATAATACACCGGCTGCTTTAAAACTAAAATGCACGACGTACATTAGCATTCTCTGTAGTTCTCTGGGCCTACGGCACTATACTGGCACAGATACGGCTTAGAAGCAAACTTCAAACTGCGAGTACATTTGGGAAAAAAACCTTGTGCCATTAACCGTCACCTGCTTGGCAAGCGTTTACAAGAACATGTTCATGGAAACAAAATGTTTTAGTTTAAGATTACGGTAGATATCCTGTGACTTCTATCGCTTGCCTATCCCATTCTACGGAAGAACTGAAAACACCAGGAATACCGGCACATACAGCGATTCGCATCGACGCTGCACATCTACGAAATAAATAGCTTGGCTCAACAATTAAAATGTTGTAATGCTAACTAATGGACGACTAAAGAAATTGTTTTCCAGCCGCAGATTTCAAGTCCACTTTGTTCAAATGTTTTGCGACAAACGTTTTCCTATCTAAGATGGAAATTCACATTCATTGTTTTCTGATAGAAAAATATGATAGAAGAGGCTGTGATAAAGGAAACCAATGTTGTCAGTGTCGAAGAATATTAGCTTGGTCCGTTAATATCGTATCAAATTTCAAACTTGTTTCATAACATGTTGCATGGATACCAGTCAGCAAAAAATGCCATCATAATCCAAAATGGTCAACGCTTTACCAAATTTTCATTCCAAAGATGTAGAACTCTGGCTACTGTAAGTCGAAGAAGTGCGAAATCTCACATTCCTCAAAGTGATCAACAATTTCTCGCCCTACATGCAATTTCAGTCCTCGAGATCGTTGTAAGACTGGGTCAAGCCAGGAGAGCAAGTAGAGCGCACCCTACAATTTTCCAATAAAGTGCGCCAATTTTCCGGCTAGTAAGCTCGGCCACGT